TTATGTTTAAAAAATAATAATTTAAATTGTATAATTTAATTTATTATATATTTAAGTTGAAGAAACATAAAAAAAAAAAAATAAAAAAAATAATTTTTTTCACTTAAATTAACAAATCATTAGTCGATAATTGTGTACTTGATATATGCCAAACTTCACATACCTTACCCACCCTGGACGCCAGTGTGCTAGCGGAGTTGTTGAGGTTGCAAAAGAAGTTAAAGAGGATTTTGGTAAATTAATAATATACTGAGAGAAAATCGAGGCGGAAATTTGTAAAGAAATTTGACAAAAAGCAAAAGAAAGTTGGCTCCAAAGCAAAAGTGAGCACTTGGTCCCACTTAAAAGACCAGGATGCCTCGATAACTGAATTCCTTCCAAAATGCTATCCTCTCTTGGCATATTTACTCAAAATGCCCTTTCATAATTCCTAGTAATTGTACTTAGTAACCTTTATGCATTGATGAGTTACTTACCCATTTACACTCTTAAAAAGAGTGTTACTTATCTACAATTTAAGTAAAGAGGTTAGTTTGTATCAGTTTATAGTTTCCAAAAATAATTAGATTTTTAATTGATATTTAAAAATTAAAATATTATTTTATTAAATATTGATATTTAAATTTAAAATTTTATTATATATTTTAATATAATCAGCTTATAAATCTAAATATCAACATTTAATATGATAATTTTTTAAACTTTGATTTAAATTTTAATTAAATAAAGCGATATAATTTAAGATTAAAACCCTAATTATTTTTTAAAGTTGAAATTGATATGTACTTTTTTCTTAGATACATAAGTAATAATTTTTTTAATAAAAAAAAAATTTAAATTCAAGTCACATAAGACATAAGATATGAATAAAGTAAAAAATTTACCTTTAATTGTATAGTCTAATATTACAAAGAAAAAAAAAAGTGCTACTCATTTAATTAATAATATACTATAGATAAGAATTAAGTATTATTTTAGAGAGATTGTAAATTAATTAAATATCAAAATTAATTAATTTTAATTTTATTTAAACAATTAAAATTATGGTTTTATAACCTTTCTTCCATAATAAATATATTTTTTATCATAAAATTGTATTAAAAGAATAAATATTGATCTTCAATTTTTTCAACTGTTTAATTAAATTCATTAATATAATAATAATATTAAAATTAATATCATTTTTTATATTTTTTATACAAATTATTAACAAAAAGGTGCCCTTAAGAAAAACCCTTACAATTAAAAGAACTAAATAAACTAATGAAATAAATAAATTGATTTAAATTGTCTAATTAGGGCAATCAGGGCCACGCCGATTACACTTAAGAGTTTTCTTATAGGCTAGAGATGTAGTTCTGCCAAAAAATATAGCACAAGCACAAAAAATTGTATGATTTGGTATAATATACCTAAAAGAAGCTAATTAAGATTAAAGTCTCCACTTTCACATTTATGCTGAAGGACCCTCATGCCACTTCTGAAAAGCTTGAAATGTGCTTCTTTTTTTTTTTTTTGCCACCGAAAAGCTTGACATGTTGATTAATGATATTTTAGATTGTATTCTGTCTATTTATTTTCTTTTTTAAATGCAAACCTTCTATTAAGATTTTGGTTAATTACACCACAACAATCACTATTTCGTATGGTTGTTGCTTCAAAATTTTAAGGTGTGGATTTGAAATCTTATTTCAAACTTAAAATTAAAGGCACAAAATTAGTGAATACCAATTACATTATGCAAAGGATTCTAAGGTTTCCATTTTGAATTTTAAGTTTTTATAGGATTAAAATTTTTAATTTTTAAATTTTAATCATAATTTTAAATTAAAAAATATTTTTATATATTTTAAGAAGATTATAAACTATATATATAAAATTATAATAAATTGGGCTGCCAACCTCCTGAATCCTGACATAAATAAGAGCCCAATTCCTTTTGGGCCCGGCCTCAATTTTCTAATTTCAAAGGCGCGAGATCTGGCAATTTGAAGCCACCACCGCCACCGCTACCGCCATCTATTATCCATCAATTCTTTTCCTTCGCCGCCATCTCTTGTGTTCTTCTCCGGCGAATTTTCCAGCCTGGCTTGGTCTCTGTGGCTGCTTTCGGTTTGAAGACCTTATCGGTTTAGCGGCGAGTTGGCTTTCCTCCTCTCATATCCTAACAACTCAGCGTTGGGTCACTAATTATGGGCTTGTTCTCACAACCATTGTTCGGTCTCGGCTTTCCCCCTCTCCGATCCTAATTATTTCAGCATTAGGATTAATTTTTAGCATCAAAATTTGAAATGAATTTATGGTTAATCATTAATCAGGTCACATATAAATTCACGTGATTAATAACTTAAAAAATTTTGCTTCAAAATTTCGTTCTAAAGTTTTATCTTAAGGAATCATTGTTACTGTACAAATGGACATGGTAGTCTATAACCAACTAACAAAAACATCATTGATTCACCTAAGCGTGATTTTTCACCATATAATGAATATAAGCGTGAGTAGAAAGGCCAAAATTGCAAGAGTCAAACATAGACGTTGTGACCCCATTATTTTACAAGCATTACACTCTATCTAGAAATTAATGTAATGTAAAAGATTGTGAACTGCTGACACATTTCCACTAACCCATTATGTTGTAGTTATGGCCACTAGATTAGAGAAATAATGCCCTTTCCTTTCACCGTTCCAAAATTCCAATACACCCCTTCCCCAACACAATTTCTTTTTCTTGATATATAGAACCTCAAAATGCCATATCTTTGATGTTTTAAAAAATAAAACTTACCATGTCTTTGTTTTCACATACTAGGGGAACAGGAGGAATCACCAAAGAGTTTTCAAGTCTGCAAAAATGATCCTCTTTGATATAGAATTTGTAGTTCATAGCAAAGCTTTAGGTTTTGCAAAACCAAAAGCATCTCCTCTGTCTAAGATTATCGCATAGTAATGAGGATTTGAGATGACAATGAAGAATTCATTTGTAACTCTTGTTTTCCTCTTGCAATTTTGTAGTAGCAGAACTTGCTACTTCGCATTGTATTACAATTTTGGATGAAATAAGTTTTACATTTTATTAAAAGAGAGGAGAAAGGAGAAAAGATTGAGGAGGAGTGAGGATATGTCCGCACTAGGTAACTTCAAACGGCCGAAATCATGCCTCTAAGTTCCTCTCCACTTTGGTCATAATCCCTAGTTTCATAAAGAACTCGTTTAGAACACATCAATTGATTAATATCTCTAAGAAATTCACTCTATCAGCCATGTCATACTCCAGTTAATACTCTTGAAAGACTACATGGAAATCATTGCTAGACCTATAAATACTCCCTAAAGGCTCTAGGCAAAGCTACTTTTCCATCCTCAAGACATTCTGTAATTGGTCTCAATATTAGAGTAGACTGTTGCTAACTTAAATATCAAAGTGTCTATCCAAGGTTAATACTCAAGTATTTACAAGTCATTTGTACTGTTGATCTCGGATTGTAGAAGTTGATCTACTTCATGCAATCACAAGAGGCTAGGGTTTCAACCTGTCCTTGAGGCTATCCTACATGTTTGAAACTAAAAACTACAATGTTTAAAGAAGATAAAATGGACAAATGAACAGGCAACCCACTTCCACAAATAATTGCATATATGGTGCACTATCTCCCAATCATGGATACATGCCCCAACTATTTCTTCTCCATTCTTGAATGTGACTTTTAACTAAGGGGGAAAAAAACTAGGCTTTTAATGTCCACCATTAATTGTTTCTTTCCTATAGACATAAGGCACCAACACACCAGCGAGATTCCTTATGTTCTTAATCGATTAATTACTTGATTTATAAGTAATGTTTTGTCAACTCATTATTGTCTTTAATGCATACATGAGTTGGATAGCAATAGCATGGTAGCTCTAGATAATTATTTAATTTACATCTTTAGAAAAAAGAAAAGAAAAGAAAAAGAACTAGAACTCATTAACTTGATTTATTTTATCTAAATTTTAACGGTTAAAAGCAAAATTAGACATAAAAACAATATTATTTTTTTCATATATGTGATTATCGCAACCGATCTTATGGTAACTCACTAGAAGCACAAAGTTAATGATTTTGTGTTGGCAAAAGTGTACATTTGCACTTTTGTCGCAAAACTGCTAGCAGGTGGTGGAACGTATACAAGTTCAAACGCATGTATTACTTTGTCAAATGTTTGCAACGTAAGAGGCCACGATTTTTGCATATCTTAAAAGGGATGGATATCTCTCAAACTTTGCCAAAATGGTCTCATAAAATAAGTGTTATACCTAACATCTTTTTCATTTTGGGATCCAAGTAAGATAAACATTAGCGTAATATCCTCTTATAATCAATTTGATTAAACCTCAATAACTCATCATAAAGTCTTCCTCATATTAAATAAAAAATAAAAAATCTTAGGTCTTCCTCTCTTGTTAATTTGTTACCAATAAAGAAAAAGGAAGTCTTTGGGTTGATTAAAAAAATATTGATATTCTATTGTGATAATTTTAATTTTTTTATACATCAAATCAAAAAACCCTTTAACACATATTTTGGTATGGAGATCACACTACATGCATTAAGAAAAAATAAGAAGCATCATCGATCACCCAAACCCTCTAATTAATCATATGCCATAGATTTGTAGGAGCATCTTCGAAGTTGAGCAAAAGTAAATGATGGATAAGCATATATATATATATATATATATATATATATGCCTTGGCTTAAGAAAAAGGGAATCCATCCATCAAAAAATAAATAAATAAATAAAAGAGGAAATCCATTTGCTTGATTAATTATAAGCATTATGTTTACTTAAGACACTCATAATCACTAATGACTTGTTGGTCTAAGTAGAAGGAACTTAATTACCGTTAAATAATATTTTAAGTTCAGGTTTTATAAATGAAAAAACTAACAACTTGATTCAAGATTAATTAAAATTCAATGAAATTTTCAAATATAGGAAATAAAAAAAACCAAAAAACAAAAAAACAAAACATTCATAATTATTGATATACTATCAAAAGTGGAAAAATGATGCATCTTTTATATGTAGAATATAAAGTAGTATACAAGTATATACAATACAAATTTAATTACTTAAATACGGTACACAAAATTAAAAAGACTTTAAAGAAACTCATATTTATAAGAGCTCAAATTAATTTTTCACATGGATGTCTCATATATATCTTTCTTTGACGTGTACACTTCATTTATTTTTTATATAGATTACATAAGCAGTAGTGTTCTCATATATAACATTTTCATATATTTTGGACTGATTAATATGCATTTTAATTTAATATATTGCATGATATATAAATTAAAAAATTAGTATTTTTTTTATTTAAAATTAGAAACAGACAAACTTAAAAATACAATCATGCATACATGATATACAAATTAATTAAATCGATTGTATTTTATATTATATTTTAACAATTAAAACATATGAATATAAAAAAAATGTGTCCAACTTAAAGTTTACCAATTATTTTTCTATAACATTATTGCTACAAAACTTGAATAAAAATAAAAGCACAAATCTAATGTTGTGTGGTGATAAATTTACATATCTTCCTTTAGTTATCTTGGCAAACCCCCAAATCCTTCCTTCAAATAGATTGGTAGGGACAAATCCATCTTTCAAAAAAATGCATAGATAAATTGCTTCTTCAAATTATAAATTAAGATAAATTATTTACTTTTGAACATTTTTTATTAAAAAATGCTAACGTGATAAACAGAATTTTGACGTTTTTTGTTAAAAAATAAGTGATTTGTTTTAATTTATAATTTAAAAAAATAATTTATCTTTGTATTTTTTTTAGAAGTGGATTTATCTCTGCCAACCTATTTACAAGGTGGATTTGAAGGTTTTGTCAGCCATATTTAATCTTGCGTCACTTTATCCTCTCTCTTGATTGAATTTTTTGCTTTAAACGCCATTTATATATATATATATTTATTTATTTATTTATATATATATATATATATCAAGCACCACCTTTGATAAAAGTGCAAATTAATCAGATGATGGATATCTAGATTAATGGACTAACCCCAACCAAACGAGGACGCTTTTTATATAAAACCATTATTATAGGGTAACATCCATTATATGTGGACTAGCCTAACCAAAGAGGACATTTTTTTTTTTTTAATCTGCACAAAGGACACCTGACATTGTAGTGCCGAGTTAGCTCGTGAGGCATATCATGGTATAATTACCGGCCAAGGGAGAATAGAAACGTACATTTATTAGTGGAAAACTTTTTCTTGAAACAAATTTTCATTTGGACATCTAGTGATACTTTGCATGTTCTAAAATAAAAAAAGAATCATTATATTGGGGTTTAGATGTGAGTGTAATAAATATTATATAAAAAAAAATGATAAAAATAACAAGAAAAATTTATAACAAGACAAATATATACGTTGAGTTCAATATGGCTTCTAAAGTTCTCGAGCTCCATCGCGGCTGGCATGATCTTCCAACACATTGACTATATGTTTTCATTATGAGTTCATGTAAAGAAGGAATCACAGGTATATAAGGGAATTAAATTCTCGGAAATTTGGCAGGATATGATGCATCTATACATGATTTTGCTCATATCTAATTGATGAATAGTCTAGGAAGAAAGGTTTTTTTTTTTTTTTTTCATTTTTTTGTTATAGCTAGTGGAAGTATCTAAGGTCATGTGTAAAGGAAGAATTTGCATCTGTCCCATGGTATAAATATTGGGGAATTTCTTTAAAAATAGTGAGACATTTATGACAAGTTCCCAACTAAATTCTCATTTCTCCCAGAGGAGACTGGCCGGAGTATATTGATGCGTGCGTTTAGTGCTTTTCATGGCCTCACGGGTCACTGCCTTCAACTTGGGCCCCTTGGAGAACGTGCGAAGTGGGTTCCACCCATCTTGCGGTAACCAATTAGCCAAAAATGGTCTTCACTAGTCATTTTAATTAATGAATCTTGCATGCCCATCCCCATCCCCATCCCCATCCCCATCCCCCAATTCCAAAGAAAATAAACTTTTCCCTCAATCATAAGGAACTCGCCCCTAAAGTCAAGTACTAACCCTTCACCTCACCTATTTAGGGCTACGTTATTTCATTGATGAGAAGTAACTATCATGATGTATTGTTCTTTCCTTTCTCCACAACTTAATAGCACTAAATCATGATTAAGGAAATCACATTAAAAGTTTTCGATAAAAATAAGATTCTTTAGACACAATAGCCACAAGTTATACCAAAACATACATACATACATACATATATATATACATATATATCAATATATCTATCAATATATCATGTAATGTTGTAAAGAAGATCCCAACATGGTTTCATAGCACATAAAATAAACGTCACTAAAGAAAATATTATATAAATAATGATAAATAGGATAAAAAATTGAGACTAATAATATAACATAAATCACATTATTTAAAATATTAAAAAAATAGACTATATATTAATTAATAATTAGTTTTTTTCACTTTTTTTTGAATTTTTTATATTATATACATTAATTCATTTAATCACATGATTTATGCCACATCATTGATCCCTTAATTTTGTCCCTTTGTTTTTGTCTCCATATCATTTAAGACACTTATTGGTATAATTTTTAGTTCAATACACTCATTAAAAAATTATTTTTTTTAATTTAAAATTAAAAATAGACAAATTTAAAAATATAACAATTCATATAATATATAAAAACTGACTAAATCAACTATATTAATATTATATTTTAGTAGTTGAATTGAATGAGTAAAAAAAGTGTGTCAAACTTAATATTTTACCTATCATTTTCCTTTTATATATAAGTGTGTGGAACACTATTTACATTCTGCCCTTTAACCGATTCCCCACCATTTTCGCGTCTCATCTCATCCATTATGCCTTCACACAACATCGACATTAACTATATACTCCTACAAGTATTTACTATATTTAGACAGTAATTTACACAAGACAGTACTCAAACTTGACGTAAAGTATAAAAACTTCCATCTTAGTTAAGTAACCACTACTTTCAGGCCAAGAATTGATTGGATTAATCCTCTCTTTATAATTTTCACCATCAAATCAATACTCTTTTTTTAGCTGTCCCTAATTCGACCCATGTCTACTTAAACCCTCCCCAACCGTCTTCTTCTTCCATCCCCACAACCTCAACACCTCTCCATATCCGACTGGTTTTCTCTTCACTCTTACCAAGTAATTCGCCCTTGCCTAAGGTATAGTTCTTCAGCTTAATTATTTTTTTAGCTTTCTCCCCGCACCCTTTTGCGAAATTGTGATATTCATGAGGGACCTGATCGATGATGAATTAGTTTATATTGTAGAGGGTAGAAAAGATGGCAATGGCTGCGGCAGAGGGAAACAAGTTGCAGAAAAGCTATTTTGATGTTTTGGGTTTGTGTTGCTCGTCGGAAGTTCCACTCATAGAGAATATACTGAAGCCTCTAGATGGAGTGAAGGAAGTGTCGGTGATCGTTCCGTCCAGAACTGTGATAGTTGTCCATGACCCTCTCCTCATTTCTCAGCTTCAAATTGGTAACTAATAATAATAGTCATCATCTTTTTCACGTTAATTTTAAAGTTCTTTTTTTTTTTTTGATATAAAGTATTTTAAATTATAATATATAAATTATTTTTATTATTAGGTGGAGAAACGATCACTTAATATCAAAATTTTACCTTATTTAGCAATTTAAGTTATATAGTATAAACTAACCTAAACTACATATCCATTCAATATTTAAAATTATATGATCCAAAACAATACAAATGATCAATATCCTATCATCTATAGCATACCTTTTAAAAATTTTCATCATTTGGGTAAAAGAATTGATAACTATTTGAATTTTTTTTCCGGTACTTAATACATGGGGGAGAGAAGAAGTGTGAGATTCTTTTTCCTTCGCACTAAATTGTTCACCATCTTGCATGCTGAGAAAGGAAATTCTATTGTATCACAAAATTTGAAAATCTTAATTTAAAATTCAGATTAAAAATTTAAACTTTTGTATTACAAATACTTAATTCTCTTATTTAAAAAAAACGATATACAAATTAGAAAAATTTAAAATCAAAATTAACTTTTAATTTTTGCTATTAATTTTTTAATTTGTATTCTAATAGTGCATTTATTATATATTTTCACCGTTAATTTATATGAAAAATTATAAAGACAAACTTTATTTCAATATCACGTGAAGTAATTTAATTAAATAGTTGATGAAATTAAAATCAATTTTTATTTTATATATAAATTAATAATAAAAGAGTATAATTTTTTTTTTTGACCAAGTAGATGGTTAGGAAGTTAGTAGAGTTAGTTTGTTAGCGGCTGGAATTTTTTCAGGAAAGTGAATGTTTCACCCCCTCATTTGAGGCGCGCGACCATTAGGTCGCAAGTTGGTGGAGTTCACGGCGGTAGCAGAGTTCGAAATCCTGACTTCCGCCTCACCCAAGCCCTAAAGCTTGGGGGCTAACCAATTGGGCCACAGGCAGTATAATCAATACATTTTTAACTTATATTATAATTTTTTTGTAATGCATGGGAAAATGAAGTTACGCTATAATAGCACATATTAAAAAATTTTGTATCATTAACCTCTTTATTCATTTTTAGTAAATCTAATCTCTTATTTAGAGAGTGTTTAAATTTAATTATTTATTTGTTTATGATGTCATTTAACGTATTTATTTATATTTTATTTTTATTTTAAAACCTCTTTATTCATTTTTAGTAAATCTAATCTCTTATTTAGAGAGTGTTTAAATTTAATTATTTATTTTTTTATGATGTCATTTAATGTATTTATTTATATTTTATTTTTATTTTAAAAAGATAGTTAAAATATATATTAAATAAAAAATTTTATTTAAATAGTATTTAATTAAAAATAAATGTAAAATTTTATTAATAAATTATTATATTTTTATTTTATTAAAAAGAGAGAATAATTAATGCTGCAACAGAAATTAAACTCACTACTAAACCTACAAATATAGGCGAGGAAAAAATTAATGAGAAAAAATTTTTATTATAATTTATAATTAATGCAGCAGGAAGAATACTCCCCGCTAAAAACCTGCAAATGTAGGCCGGCTGCAATGAAAGTCAATAAAATTGGCCTAGTTGTTAATGGACCTTTTTTTTTTGAAAGACGGATAACTCATTTCATTAAATATAAATAGTACAGTAGCAAGAACTATTTGTACATTAAAAGCATTAAAAGCTTTTAATGTGGTATCTCAACTTTAAGTCTAAAGCATTAAAAGCAATAGATAACTTTTTTTTTTTTTTAATAGTTTTGTCATGCGGCGGGTTCGAAACCGCCCGAGAATGAGATGTGCACTTTTCAGTAACTCTAGTCATTGGGCCACACGGGTCAAGTGCAAAAACAATAGATAACTGATACATTATTAAAAAAAAAAATCATGACTTTGTGCATAGGGTAAGGGATCAATTTTTACTGTGTAAGTTAAAAAAATTTTACTCTAATTTTTTTCTATATATTTTAAAATTTAAAATTTTGTTTTGAAAATTTAAATATTACATTAGTTACTAAAACTTTAAATAAGTGATTAAAAATTGGTATACCACTTAA